AAAAGGCAAGCTCAGAGGGAGTGGCCTGATGCCACTCTGACTAAGTGACTCCTCGCAGGTGGAAGTTCATTAACGACAAAACTATCGAGCAAGCAATTCAGGTTGTAATCACTCTTCATGTCATGAATGTGGAGCGCTCAGGGACTCATTTATAAGTGCAACACTTTTTTTATTTAATCAGGCCAAGACTGAATCATTAGAGTTGGAGATTTCTCGCTGCAAATGGAAAAGAACTCTCAGAAATATGCACAGAAAATACTCCAATTTGCAAGTGTTGCTCTTAATTTCTAGTGAAAAATAAAAACTCATTAAACTTCACATTAGCCACATTCATGAGACAAGTCCACTTAAACATGTTCATATTCTAGAATATTACATGAAAAAAAGGCTTCAATTGCTTGTAAGAAAGAAACAAAGGACAAAAAAAGAAACAGAATCTCTGGGGCTCCGTTAGAGATCGCTTCTGAAAAAGTTCATTTTCCTCCTTTTAATTAACTTAATTCACACAATGAAACTTTTATTTATTCTAGATTCATGACACACAGAGTGAAACATTTCAGGGCTTTTCTGTTGGAATCTTGATGTTTATGGCTCACAGCTCATGAAAATCAAAAATCAACTATTTCACATTATTTTTATATTCCCCAACACCAATAAAAGACATTAATAAGGATTTATAAACAGAAATGTGGACCATCTGAATGAATTACACTTACTGCTGCTCTCTGTTTCTAGTCACAGCTTCTTTTGCAATAATTACTGCAGATCACTTTTTGTTAGGATGAGTTTCTTTAGCCAGTCATAGTAGCCTTTAGAGTGTTGGAGCTGTGTCACTCAAATACCTCAGATACTTTGGTGTTAGACTGCTGGAGCCGGGGGCCTCCAACAACCATCCTTGACCGAAGAACCCTGTACACATTATTTACATCATGTAGATCCCCAAAATATGTTCTGCTATGGTTTTTCCTTCTTTGGACCCTCCATATGTTCACCTAAGGCTTCTTAAAATATGTTGTCCTTTGTTCTTACCGTACATGGATTTTTCTCAGGGTCAACTAAATATCAACAGTATGTTTAGAGTTGTGGACCGCTATATATACTTGAACAGTCTCCACACTTGTGTCATGATGAAGCTGTAACCCAGATCTGCAACCAGTAAAGCTTGTCAAACTGACCATTCGTGTGGACCTTCCATTCTTTCAAGTGTAAACCTAGGCCAGGCATCCTTACACTTTTAAAATGTGTATTTCCATAGAGCTTTGAGCTGCACTGACTCTGGACTTGATCAAACTCAGTAAACCAACAGCAGCAGATGACCCAAACCACCACAGACTGTGGAAGCTTCATGCACCCCTTGATTCTGGGCCTCTTAGATCTTCCTCCAGACTTGTGGTCCTTGATCGTGGTCCAGTTATTTTTCTTCTTCGTGCAGATGAGACTTTCATGACATTGCATCTGGTTCAGGAGGGTCTTGACAGCAGAAACACTTGTAGTCCATTTCCTGGATTTTTCTGTGTGTTGTAGCTCTTGATGCTCTGACTCCAGTCCTTGAGAAACCTCTTTAAGTTCTTTAAAGTGCTTTGACAGTCCTTCCAAGTTCTCATCCCTGCTGCTTGGTCTACTTTTCCTCCCTTCCTTTATAGAAGAAACAATCTACCGACTCATAGTAAAATCCACTGGCTTTGTGAGACCGGCAGCTTTAAGCTACATTTGTTTTTGTGACATCCAGCGGCTTTTCAAACCCACAGAGAGGACCAGTATTGTGAGATCCACCCTTCAAAAACACAGGTAATAATGTGATTTCTGTATCTCCAAAAACAAAAACAGAGGTGGTATGACCTGTTCCTGCCACAGCTGTTGCAGATATTTGATAAGTTGAAAGAAGTTGCTTTCGTCAGAGCGTTCATTAACGGAGATTTTGCCTAAGGTCTTATTGCCGTCATTTTTGCTGAGATATTTAACACAGTTAGTGTCAGACATGGATTTTTCTCACAGTGAATTAGCGTCCTTTTTGAAGGCTGATATCCTAAAGAGTAGAATCTAAGATTTGCCTCCTCTCTCTCTCCACCGCACACTCCTGACTCTAACTGACCCAATAAAAAGCTGGTATTGACAAAGCCATAAACCACAGAGATAAAGTTCATCCCGACAATCAATCATGCATCCTCAGGGATTCAGAGAAGGTCAAAGGTCGAAGGATATGAAGCTCCTGATGTGCCAAACAGAAGAAGGAGCGTCCTCGTCTCTGCTGTGAAAATCAGACGAGCATGTTGTAATCAAGAGCAGAGACACGAAAGAGAACGAGGAGACATTGGAAAGCAGATTCCCTGAAGACAGCTGAGAGAGCGAGAGCTAATAATCAGTTTGTACTCTGCTGATTACAGGCTAATCATGGCCTGAATACAGGCTGCCGCTCCGTCTCCTCTCTGCTGCGTCACGTGAACACAATCTGCAGAAAGAGGAGCAGGAAGTCGATGCCTATTATCTATTAAGAAGCTTCCCTGCAGTTGTGAGGCTGATAATATTTACAGCCAGTGATTAAAGCTCCTCATTTGCATCAAAATGTACACACACCAAACAGGAGTAAACATGAGAGACAGATGTGATTAAATCCTTTTTTTCTCTAAATAAAACAAAGAAATCTTTTTATTCTTGCTTTTGTTTCTGTAAAGACAAACAGAAACGGTCCCGCCAGCGTCTGATTCCATGAAAACTTTCCAGGTTCTTCCTCTGAGGTTTGAAAGGAGGTCGATAAATTGAGCAGATTTGCTCCCATTTTGCAGCATTAGTGTGAATGAGTGTAACATGATGTTGATGAGTGTGGTGATTTATCCTGATTTGGTTGATGAAGGATCCTGCTGTCGTCGCTGACTGATTATGGAAATCAACAGTAAATTGTTTTTGAACGTGGGCCACTTCTCCTCAGCGCTCCATGAAGGGCACTGGGAGGCGTGCGCCGTAACTCACCGCCGTGATGTCACACTTGTAATGTAATTACAATCCCATCTGTCTCTCATCGTGTGACAAGCGCAAAATGTCCAATTATGGTTTCGTTTAAATTGTAATTAGTTCGGCCCAATTTGCCGTCCTCCAGCGTGCTGCACGCGCCTGATGAGGGGAGATGCATGAAGCTGAGCTGCAGAACCTGAGAGAGTTCTGCACGCTGCACTCAGATGAACTCTGCTTTTTAGGCAAAGTGAGAATTAATGCAGTTAAAGGCTCATTCTGAGTCACGCTGCCCACTCACTGGGTCTTTTTCTACAGCTCCAGGAGATGCAGACGTCTCTGCAGCCTGAGGACAGACGTCTGCTGGCACTCGGAGAGGAGGTTCACCCAGAAGACGGTCATTAAGTGATGTTTTGGCTTCATTCAGATTTATTTAAGCTGCTGTGTTTGCCTGAGTGTTAGTAAGAGGTGGCTAAAGAAAACAGACAGAGTGCCAAACCCAGAGGGAAATGAAATACATATTCTTATCCCATGGCAGTCCCATAAATGACACACATATAAAAACAAAGTGAATATACCTGTACATGTACTGACAACCCTTATATGAAACCTGTTTGACATTAGGGTTATTTCATACATACACGTATATATATTGTTCAAATAATATGACCCTGTATATGAATTCAACTTTAATGTATAATTTTTAGACTTGTATTTACAAATTTATATATGTTACTTGGGGTGTGCCATATCATATTGTGTACGGTAATACCAGTGCACTTTTTTTGGTGATATAAATTTGTCATATTGCAGTATTTACACTGTGGGTACGCGATGACGTTCCTTACTGCATACACAACACCAGTGTCAGAGAGTAAGAGCAGCAAAGCAGCGTCAACTTTATCCTCAAATGAAGATCTAGTGCCAAAAAAAGGGAGCGACCTCTGTGGTGTGGAGGGGGTTTGACTAACACCGCTAATCAGTTTTACCACCTAAAGCTAAAATACACAGCCAAATATCAGCAGGCCTTGAAGGCATGTAATGAGGACGTAAAAGCAGCTACTGGTGTTCAGAGTAAAAGTCAACAACAGCTATAAGGAGCATTCACTGCATTCTGTTCGATTAAAAAATAAATAAACAGATGGTGGCAGGACATTACACAAGCACTCTATAATTTAACCCCTTTTTAACACCAATAATAAAAATGCTATTGTTCAGAAGCAGCATTAATAATAGTTAATTTATAATGTGTTGTTCTGTAATTTTTTTCCATGTCGTCATAAATATCGTGATCACAAATTGCCTTAAAATATCATGATTTCACTTTGAGGCTATTTTGCCCACCACTATGTTACCGAAATCTTTTGTCAAAAACTTTTAATTTCTTTGAAGAATATTTCAAATATGTTCAAAATCTACATCTTCATTTATGGTATAAAAAAGCTTTATAAAAAAGTGATAAACAAATAATAGTGTAAAAATCAACCTGGAAAACGGGAGTCCAGATCCATGATAATATATTTTTTAGATTGATGTAGCCTGTTACAGGAAACAAGTTAAAGACTCTGCATCCTTCTGAAGTTATCCATCCTGACATATGATGCAAACTGAACATTTACTTTGAGCTAGGAGGACTTAAGACATAACTTATTCTCAATTTAAAACCCTCTTTACCAGTGTAACATGTCGCACATTAACTCTATCTTTAAACAGGGTCAGTTTGAATTTACACACAGCTGGTGTAACTCTATCTACTGCAGTCCAACACTGACACTGTGCATTACCCCAAATTTCCACTGCATGCAGAACGGCCGTGAAACTGCCATCGGAGCCGATCGCCGCTGATCGTTTCCATTCAAGTTAATCTGTCAAATTCCAGACCCCCCCCCCCCAAAAAAAAAACAACCATGCCGTGCAGTCCAGGAGCTAGCAAGGGGAGGTGAGAAGCTGCCGAAAGAGAGATGAGTTAGAGAGACTCATTGCCCAAGCATTAATAAGTTATCTGCAGAGTATTTATTTAAATATTTCATTTCATTTATATCTATATGCCAAAGTTATGGGTACTCATAGTTTTTTGGGCTTCTAGAATGTCCCGAGCCTCGGGGCGCAGATAGTGTTCGCACGCGGCTGACGACAATCGGCCCGTGGCTTTGAGGGTGGACACAGGGGCCGTCATAGCTGTGGTTGTAGCTGCACCTATGCGAAAGGAATGAGCCGTGTAGCGATCTAGAGGAAGTCAGCAGGCAGAGGCAGAGGAGGCAGAGGCGGGTGACAAACCGGGCTTTGGTCATGGGTTCTGTGGTGAATAGCAGCTCATGCTGGCTGGCTCGGGAACGGCTTCTCATGTAGCGGGTCATGGAAGCAAACGGACAGAAAGGAGAATTAGTTTGAGCAATGAAAACTATGGTCCCTTTCCTGTCTCTTTCTGTCTTGGAAATTTAAAGAAAGACACTAAAATGGTGACTGTGGACGGTAACGTCAGCTATGGCGAGGTCGTGAGAAGGGTCGAAACCGTAAAAAGCTGTTAGAAACACTGTTTCCAAAAGTAAGTCTGAATATAAGAATTTTATTTGTACAGCGCTTTTCAAGGACGCAAAGATGATGTACATGAATAAAAGCAGGAACAATAAAACACAGATCAATATACAATAAAATATAGATCAATATCAATAAAATCAGGTAAAATCCAAGGGGGGGGGGGGGGGGGGGCTATGGAGGATGAAAGGCAGCACAGAAGAGGTGGGTTTTGAGAAGGGTCTTGAATCTGGTGAGGTCAGTGCAGTTTCTGAGTTCCAATGGGAGTGAGTTCCAGAGGGTGGGGGCGGCGACTGAGAAGGCTCTGCCCCCCCAGGTTCGGTGCTTGGTCGGGGGAACTGTGAGGAGGTTGGCATTGGCGGAGCGGAGGATACGGGGGGGAATGTAGGGGTGGAGTAGATCTTGGGGGATGGGGAGCCAGTGAAGGTTCTGGAGGATGGGGGTGATGCCCAAAATCCGATTGCACAGGTCACTTAAAGGATTGTGGAAAAGGAGCAGGCAAAGCCATCAAAAACATCGTCCCACAAGAGGTTCTATGTCTCAGCCAACACTCGAGACACTTGCTTCATCCTGGAGGACCAGATCGTGTTTGTGGGGGAGAAGAGGGCTGATGGCAAGTTGGTGGCTGATGTTGTCACAATGTATTATATATTTCAAGTGTTGCACTTTAACCAGAGCATCCTGACTGTATCAGTCAGTTCAATCTCTGCCTTATGTGATTTCACATTTTCCAAGGCATTGCTGGTCATTTTTCTGTGATTATATATTTCAAGAACTGCACTATAACCACTCTTTCCTGACTTTATTAGTCAGTTCAATCTCATGCTCCCTCTGTGCACTCTGATTCCTAAGACGCAGGGATTGTGAAAGTGTTTAGAAAAAGTTGTTGGGTCGAATGTTTACAAATATTTTTGCACTGTTTATTTTTAGGGAAATGTTACAGAAATATACCTAAGGCCAGATGTTTGTTGTAAAATTTGAAATTTTGAATTGTAAGATTTTTATTTATGGTAATGGCAGAGTCGGATATTAAAAATATATTGTTAACAATTTAATGTTTTTTATTATATTAAGCTTATTATTGATGCTCTAAAAATGCTGAGAGAGAACCAACATTATGCTAATTAACTGCCAGATCAGCCTGGGATACATTAACACATCCATCAAGGTAAGGATAACAAGGAAAGTTTGGTCTGTAAGATGGGTCCAAATATCGTTTTGGGGCTTTTAAAGCTTGATTACGAGTATTTTAATTCTTAATCAGTATAAATAAGTATTAAAATACTTACAATTTTATTATAGTTTGAAATAGTCATCTAATAAATGTCTATAGTCTATAACCTGGTATAAATTTGTTCTAAACATGAACGTTTAACAAAAGTCTAAAATATAGATGTTTATATTTAGTCGTCTATTAGCGGTTGCTTCTACGTCAAAATATAGACACACATCTATATATAGATGTTGTTTATATGTCTAATAGGTGTCTAGTCTAAATATAGTCGTCTTAAAAAACTTTCATTTCTGCACCATTTTTTAGACGTGGCGTCATTTTTAGACGCGGCGTCTAGGTGGCATATAGACGTCTATTAGACCTTAAAATGCTCGGTGGGCTTCATCTAATGTAATGGGCGCAGCTAAATGGATGGCGGTTTTTATTATGTTGACAGGCTAGATATGAAAGCGTGGCCCTGGGGGATAACTTGCATGGGAAAATTTAAATGTCTGAGGAGGGAAAGCAAGTCTCTTTTTGATATGCTTTTAGAATATTGCACTCTCATAATTTCTCTGATGCAAATTAATTTATTGATAGGTGGGGAAGCCTACATTAAGTTGCTATCCAGCACAATACCTAGAAAATCTATGGTTTGGAGAGGACCAACAGTTATTTCCTCAGATAGTGGAACCCCTAAGGTAGCAAAGGTAGATTTGAGTGTGGAACTAGTGTGGTCGGGCTTGGCATTGGGAAATCAATAAGTAGAAAATAATCAAGCAAGTGGAGCACAAATGGAAGCCTGCAGTTATTCAGCAGGATCCAGCAGAGGGCCTCTAACAGCGTGTCGAAGATCTTGGGGCTGCTGCTGCACCCGAAAGTGAGTCTAACTGCGAAGTACAGTTTTTCTCTCCATTTTGAGCTGAAGAAATGCCACTGAGAGGAGTGTAGAGGCATAACTTTTAAAGCGTCTGTGCTGGCTGCTTTAGACAGCCATGTGCCCCTGCCTGCTATTTTAATAAGCTGTGATGGCATCATCAATTGAGGCATAAAACAGAGAAAATGGTGGCAGAGGAATAAGGCTATTGACTCTGTCTGCTGAATCATTGTGAGGGGCTGATAAGTCTATGATCAGGGAGTTTTCACGAGTGGCTACACCTAGGGGGTTAATGCATGTTATAGGAAATGGTGAATTAACAAATGGACCTATCACAAAACCTTTCCTAACTTCCTTCTCTAGTAGAGTATCAACTATCTCGGGCTCCTTTAAAGCAGATTGTAAGTTATTACACACATAAGACACATTAGAAAACCTTGCCAGACTGGCCAAAAAACCTTGAATAAGTCCGGTTATCAAGTAATTGACAAAGCAGCGGAGCGGTGGGCTGGGCTGTTGCAAAGCCTTCTTTAGCTCAGGCAGGTTGATAGGGGTTGATGGTTTTATTGTTTCTTTTCCTTTCTCACAGGACGGGATCGTCGTGGGCATACAGATCTGGGGTGCCCGTCCCAGCAAAAGCTGCAATCATGGGTATATTTACAATTAGTATACTTGCACACGTTTTCATCGAAATTAATACAGATAGGTGTTATGCCAGGTGCCACCTCGGTCTCGGTTCCAAGGCTTCTAGGTGGATTTTCAATAGCCACGGATTTCGAGCATAAATTAGAGGAATGAGAAAAAGAGCTGCATATAGAGCAGGAGAGAGCCTGACGGCCGGTACAGTGCCTGCTAAATCCGGCCTGATCAGGGCCAGATCTACGGCGGACCAGTCCACTCTTTGGTGAAATCTCTGGATACATATTACAGCCTTAGCAGAGAGAATTTATGATATTCGTAAAACAGAGTTCCACCTTAAGTCATGGCGAGATCAGCGATGATGGCAAGGTATGTGTCCAGTTTGGCTTAACGGGATGGATAAACTTCACAGATGACGTCCCTATAAATGCTAAAAGCCACTGTGAATTCCGCGAGAGTCAAGGACTTAAAGAGCCTGGGATCTCTGTCTTTCAGCAGAACAAAAATGTTTCCGCAGTCAACCACACGTTTATCACTGACATCGGAGAACAGCAGGATCTTAACTAAATTAATGTCATTACCTGCCAGGATCTGGCTCCTGAGTTTAGGAGAAATTGCAGCTGCAGGAGGGTAGAAGGGGACGCCTGTGGTGATAAAAACTGCACTACCCAGGGTTCTTTGCGGGACGGTGACGTTGTTGCAGGAGGCCGGGATGATGTCATCCAGCTGTGATAATGGGTTGGTGCATGCGGGGTCTTGGAAAGTTAGCGTTGTGGATTGAAACTGCGTTGAAGTTGGAGCATTAGCCTCCAGGGTCTGGAGTTCAGTTCCTGGCGTTCATAGAAGAAAGGGAGGACTGGATGGAGAACAGAGCCGACATGATGTTGATGTTCGTCTGAGCTGCGTGGTTGCCAGTTGGAGCTGCTAACTGACCGCTGGGGCTGGAACTCTCGCCCTCTTGTGCTTCTGGGTGGCACGGATTGCCGAGGCTGTACCGGAATTGCTGGTGGTGTGTTTACATTTTGCTGTGGCCTTTCGAGGAGCGGAAGAGGGAGGAGTGCTTGTAAGTGGATGCTGGAGCTCAGAGCAACTCAGGAAAAGCCCAAACAACTCCTGGTGAGAGGCGCCAATCGGGGTGGGGATGTTGTTGTTAAACAGGAACTGTAGCAACTTCGGGATCGGCATATTCCTTCTTGCTAACCTGGAGCTTCGGCGGAGAGAGGAAGCTTCCTTGGGGCCATATTCTCTCTGTCGGAGCCTTGTGGTGACTTCAAGATGCAGTCGAACTGTGGCTCGTCCTCATCGTAGGCTGAGGACATTGTCATGAGGTGCAACTAGGTAGGAAGTAACACAAACGTCAAAGCAGAGGAAGAGGCTGGGTTAGTGCAATTTTAAATAGGGCGCTCTATAGGCATAGGACCAATGGGAGCTAGGAGTAAATCAGCTGGACTCGTTTGGTTAAGGTGGCTACTAGCCATTGGCTGCGGATCAGCGCTTGACATCGTGTCCTGTCAGAACTAATGCTATGCTTCATTTTGACTGCATGAGTTTAGAACAGATGTAGTGAATGACTAATTTGTATGAAGCAGAGAAACGGTCTCCTCTTTTTGGACCATGCGAACTATGATGGCTCAAGACAGTTATTATTAAAGATAACTCCACAAATTCCTGGAAAATTTTGAATTCCAGGCGGGCAAAAACAGGATTATAACTCTCTAATTTTGACTCTAAGACCAAAGAAGACATGATAGTCTTGTTAATGCATGTATTTTTTTAGTGTTAGAGTATTCTAGGTTTAAGTTTAGTTTCTGATCTGAAGTTATTGATTTGTTACGCACACTGAGTTAGGATCGTTTGGTTTGATCAGCTGATGTAAAGCTGAGAAAGAGACAGTTAAGTCACAAATCATCTCATTAAAGATGGAGATAATTTTGATGATTAAAAACAATATTATCATAACGGTTCATAAACTATCAGATTTTCTGATTTTGTGGTGCAAAGAGGATGAGATTTTACCTGTTTGACCTGAAATCATTTTATTCAATTAAAACATCGTTTTTATCATAATAACAACAAGAATGGTTCCATATCTG